CCCAACAACAATCCGGGTCTTCATTTCACCCACCTCGGAAGGATGGAAGGCTGAGTCAACCTTGAGCGGGTGAGATTTGAACCGCTAAACTGCAGATAACAGTCAGCTGAAGTGGCCTGCAGTACTGCACCCTAACCACTGCGCCACCTCGGCTCTTAAGCATGATCCTTAGTCCAGAGATTTTAACAATATTACAGAACTCTGAATTTATCTTGCTTCTGGGAACTTCAGCCCTATTCCATTTGGAGAAATCCAGCATAGGAAAGCCTGCCATTTTACTCTGAGGAGTAAATGAGTTTTAACTGCCAATCATTCAGATGCACATTACTGTGTAGATACTGTATGTTGTACTGAGATGTCTCCTCCTTCATTATTCCAATCCCAAAATAAAATCACATACGGAAAATACAGGGCATTGGATTCCTATTTTGTGGGAATGTTCTAAATTGGGAAATGTGACCATATTTCTGCCTTTGTTATTTTATTTTTATTTTTCCTTCCTTCCATTCTGCCTTTACATTGACCCTCGTGATGTTTTTGACAAAATTCATCTCACTGTCACATTTTAATTGTAATCACACCAGATTTCAATGACTGGTTATAAATAGCATTGACAATTAATACAAGTGATATTATTTACATATAATTTTATTTAATTTTATTTCCTGAACAGCTCGTCTTGAAGAAACAAGTGGTAAGTTTCATAACCCCTTTTTCATGTCTTAAAACCAATTCTTTCTGGTTAGTTACTCTGTGTAAATGATACCTTTTGTCCTTTAAATAGCTGATTAAAAACACCCTCATAGAAGAAATATTTTTTTGCCAGAAAAAATCCTAGAGTATCTCTCTCCTCATAATCAGAAATACTTAGTTGGGTATTAAACCACAGACTGTTAATGAAATATTCAGTAATGAAAAAGTATTTCTTTCTTTAACAATAGCACTTAGACTTATAGTATATATTGCCCCATAGTGCTTTACAGCATTCTCTGGGTGGTTTACAAAGTCAGCATTATTTACATATTGGCTGAAAAAATCTGGATCCTCATTTTACTGATCTCAGAAAGATGGAAGGCTGAGTCAATCTTCATTTTACTTTTCTTAATTGTTTGTTGGATATGAATTGCATTTGGTCCTCTTGTTATGTCAATGCATGGCTGGATTTGGTGGGGCATCAAACCTTGCTTCTATGTGAAGATACCTTTTGTTGGTTTGGAATTTTCCTGGAAACAACCAAGTGGCAAATGTGTGGCACATTCATTTCTCATTTTTTACTTCTCTTCATACCAAAGCAGTTCATCTGATAGCTAAGAAAATATACGCTACAGACGAGGGGTGGGTTGCTAATCCCGTTCCAACCGGTTCGGTTGGAACGGGGCCGGCGGCATTCTCGTGCACACACGCAGTTCACGCATGCGTCTTAGCGCCTGCGCGATGCTCCAGCTGCTCGCGGAGACTCGCGCAGGCGCTGTATGTGCCATCCAGCTGCTCGCGGAGACTCGCGCAGGCGCTGTATGTGCCATGGAAGTGGAAGTGCAGAAGCCTTCAAAGACTGGTAAGGAGCACGCGCGGGCGGGTGGGCCCTTCGCCGTTCCCGGAAGTTACTTACTTCCGGGTTCGCCAACCAACCGTTTCGCGGGGACCGCCGCGAACCGGTTGAAACCCACCCCTGCTCAGGCCAATCAATGCTGTTTATAGAACCTGCTTCTACATCCACTGAAGAATTTATCCTG